TATAATGGCATGTTATTTTCCACTTGTAGCTAGCACAGTTCCGTGACTTTAAAGTGACTTGGTTTAAAATCTAGGTTAATATTACTGAGGTGGATTTGTCTAGGATTGGTACTTTAGGAAATTTTGAAAAGTTTCTGAGACATTGTAACTGTAATCAGCTCACAAACAGATACTCCGTTCTTTCCCTCATTTAATATTCGTAGTCTTATTCACGATTTGTCTGAACATGTGGATAGTATGTGTGTTTGCTGAACGTCTCTTGTGCAGCTGTGTCACAGGTGTGTATAGTCAGGACTCATTGCCATCACCGATACACCAGCAAGTGAATAATTGACACAGTAACTTCTCTTTCGTACCTTTTTACATGATAAACACACCTTGTCCTTTTTTAAAAAATGGGTGTTGCAACCAATTCTATTTGGTCAAAGGTTTATGGGTATTTTTTTTGTAGTGCTAAAGGTGGTGTGTTTGCGTATGAGAGCACAAAAGACTTTGTTGAACAGATTAGATCTTTACATTGGGAATTGCTTTTGTTGCAATGGCTTCCTGTCTGCTAACTGTATGTATGGCAGGGAAGTCATTCTTCTCTCACCAGAAACAAGAAAAATGCACACTAGACAAACTCTAAGCCTTTCCCACTTAAATGTTCAGACTAAATATATACATTGCAAGGAATAGGCATTTCTGGGACTTACAACCTTTGCTCTATTGGTGCTTAACTCCCTGAAGACTTTCATGCTGTTTGCTTGTGTAGGGCAATCTTGACTCTTACCCGATGGGCCAATCATTGTGTTCAGAAATAGGAGTTTTACAGCTGGTATAGGTGAATAGTCAAAGTATATATGTGAAGCTATGTTACAACAAGAGATGTTTTGTGCAATCAAGATAACTGCAGAAGACAGGGGCGAGAACATTAGGAATTTTTGATAATGAGCAGCTGATGTCTATAGCAAAACATAGTAAGGTTTTAGCAGTTTGGTATTTCGCATTGGTCATTAACCCGCTTGCAGGTTCACCCCAGGTTGAACAAATGACAGGTCAGCTGCTGTCCTCTTCAGTGGGAGAGAGGGGATCTTGGCAGATGGTTCCTCTTTC